TCCGTGAGCTGAAATATGCACCTATTTTTGTCTTCTGTACAAGTTCAGGCAAAGTGAGTCTAAAACTGATCCTATGCTCACTTGTAACTGATAAGAAAAAGAAATATAAATATGTCATATTTCTCTGCAAATTAAATAATATATTTACTTTCTATTACTATTTTCTTCTGAATTGTACGGTGAATGGGATGGAAGATTTTCTTGAAGGGTGTGCCCATGTTTTTAGCACACACAAGGCATAGTTTTCTACAACTTTCTTTAGGCCATGAAATATTAGATTCAGTTTTAATTTGGATGAACAGAGATGAACAGACACCAGACTGGGAGGCTTTTTGCCCTAAATCACCAAACGAGCAGAACAATCTTCAACTGTGGGCAAGGCAGTTTTGGTATGACCACAGTGTTTCTTTTTGGTTATCCATCCTGTGAGTCCTCAGTTGATGTAAATCACCATAGCTGTGTTTACATAACCAGAAGGGCTGACCACAGAGAGGTTGTGGTTTTTTTGGTGATTCATATCAGATTCACGTCATGATGTTTTTCTACTGCAGTTCAGTACTCTACAGCTTCAGATTTCACCAGTCACATCTACACTGTTCTTAATGTTCAGATAGAGCAATAGAAATTAAGCCTACATGAAAGCAGAAAGGAGAAATACAGCTCATTGCAGAGTAAAACTGTTCTAAAGAAGGAAGTGAACAAAAGTACATTACATATTATACTACCATGTGTATTCTATTGCTCACTCTTTCATTTTGCTGAATATTTGTTTCCATTTATTTATTTGTTTGTTTTTCTTTTTAATTACTTTTCAATTGCATCACTGAAAGTTCAGAAAGAATCACTTCTGTAATGCTGTATTTATTTCCAAGGCTTTTGCTTATGATGACTGTTTTCTTCAGGATGACCTTATGACTGAAATGGACTAGTGATCCCCAACAACTGAGCACTAGGATTGGTGTACATGTTTCCCTATCTACTTCCTTACATCACGAGGTTCAGATCCTATAAAAAACAAGAGCAGTTTGATCTTTAGTCTCCTAACTGGCTGCCTCAAAAGTTCCAGCTCAACTGCACTGCTGCAGCTGGATACCCACTTTCTAGATACAAAAATCAAGAAACACATAAGCTTTTTAGGTCTTGACAAATGTATCCACTGCAGGGCTCAAGGAATTAGGTTTTTGTAAGATACTACCAAGAAAGTGCAATAACAAATGAAAGGATGTATGCTCTTCTGGAAGACTCAAATTGCAATCTTTATTTCAATTGATCAACAAGTACTCCTGGAGAAGAGTCAGGACACTTGCTGTTGTTAAAAGTTGTTCTAAAGTCATTTTACTGCCTGGGGAATGACTTTAGAAATGACTATCTAACTGTAATCTGTGTACTTATCCAGACAAGAAAGAATTGGAATGGATTATTGAGCCATGGAGGCTAAGAATTGATAGTAGAAAGGTTATGATGCCTGCTCACCTTAACCTCAGAGCATCCCAAGGCAGTGCTCTTTGAGTGGTAGGACATGAACCTAAGGTACACAGAATCACTGAAAAACTTCATTGAGCATATACGGCTCCTTCCATCAAAATAAGCAGTCAGACAAAATAAAACTGGAAATGAACAATCAGTGACTTAAGCATTAGCATCCTCTGCATATGGCTGGAAACGAAAACTTGCATGATAACACTGCACAATATCCCCCAGAAATGCTTTCCAAAAATACTAGGCAGACCCTGTAGTTACAGTGATCTGAGAAACCCTGCTTGCATGGTAGTGGGTAGTGTATCTTCTTGATTTTGTGTAAGTCTCTCTCTCTTTGGATAACTCAGGAGAGCTAACGTTAGACAAATGAGCAATTATAAGCCCTTCATTCTCCTATCCCTTGACACCATCTCCTTCCCTGCCAATGGTACATGTTCTCTTCTTCTTGGTACTCATTATTGGCGCCACAGACTCTATTCTTGACTAATGGGGTAGCTCCTCAGGAACAAAATTCAGTTCACTTGTTGTTTAGGATATTGTACTGCAGATTGCAGGACTGCATAGCAGTACTGTGTGCCATCTCTGTTCACAGTAAAACACTGTCAAATATTCAAGGAATCATTACTGTGCATCAGAGCTAAGCCACAAAGTGCTGGCAAGTTATGTACAGTAGCTCTTAGTTTGATGACAGCAAAAGTCCTTTCATTACTGCAGGTCTTGGTGGCTCTCAGGCCAAAACGTCTCACAGACACAAAACTCACAGAATCATAGAACCATTAGGGTGGAAAAGACTTCTAAGATCACCTAGTCCAATCATCAGCCCATCCCCAATGTACCCACTGCCCACGTCCCTCAGTGCCACATCCACATGGCTCTTGAACACCTCCAGGGACACTGACTCCACCACCTTCCTGGCAGCCTGTGCCACTGCCTTGACACTCCTTCTGAGAAGAAACATTTCCTAAAACCCAACCTGAACCTTTCTTGGTGCAACTTGAGGCCAGTTCCTCTCTTCCTATTGCTATTACCTGGGATAGGAGGCAAACCCCTACCTGACTACAACCTCCTTTCAGCCATTCTTGATAAGGCTTTTGTTTGCCAGAGTTTTCACAGAATCAAAGAATAATCTCTAGAACTCATAAAATTGCCAAAGTGATGCAAGTCAAAAATAATTTCTAGGTTTCATTAGAAAGCTGATCTACGTGGAACATACATATTGCATGGATATCACTGCTACCTGATTTACTACCTATAATCTGACCACTGCAGTGATCTGCTGAGATCCTTGGCTGTGTTCTGAACATACCTACATATGTGAAGCACTCAACTTTTTCAACATCTGCAAGGTCCCACACCCCCTCCCTGTGCCACAAAGAGATCAGGAGCTGCTCAAACTAAATTCCTTTATTAGTGGAATGGTTTTAATAGACCAAAAATGAAATGGATGAAAGGAATGCTTGTCCTTTATGGTTGCCAGAAAAAGTAAATATTGTCTACAGACATAACACAGATTTCTTTTAACCAAATTAAATATGGTCTATAGCAAAGCAAGCAATCTGTAGAAATGTATTGTTATGCTGCTGTTACAAACTATTTACACTGGATAAAAAACGGGTGTCTCAAAGTCAGCTTTAACTCTAGTTGATTACTATTACGATTCTGTATATCTTGCCCTTACCTCCTTTTTTTTTTTTTTTTTTTTTTTTTTTTTTTTTTAATATCACCTATAAAGTTTTAAAATTTTTTTTTTTTTTTTTGCTATGAATCAGCCATTAACAAGGTTAAAAAAGTGAGTAATCACAAAACACGTTCTGTGCAGCAGAGAAAGAGAAATCCCTTCCAGATCACCCAGCACAACTACTCCGTCACTCTCCTTCAAGATTTAAGGAGTTTGTCCCTTCCCTGCAGGCTCTTCCCATGGTTGGCAATTTGTCTCCCTGATTTTCCTCGCCAGGAATTCCTTCAAAGATAAGACCTGGTATGAAAATTTACATTTTAAGTAGACATTTTTTTTAACAGAGCACATATTTTTTTTAGTAGTACTATGTGCTGTCTCTGCTCACAGTAAAAGTTCGTCAAATAAATATTTGAAGGAATCAGCACTGTGCATCCAGTTTCACTTTCCAAACAGAAAGTGGTGTGTCTGCTTTTAGCGTTGGTATGAGGCAGACACTTGATACAAATCCAACTTTGCTAAGATCATGAACAAAGAAATCCCACCTAATTATAAAATACTTGATTAACAACTCAGCCAAACAAAGGGATATGTTTACTCTACACCAAAGCTATTTTCTGAAAAAGTCTTCACCGCTGGTTTTATAATAGACATACAGTACAGAAAAAAATGTTTGTTTTTTTTTTTTTCTTTCAGGTTTTGGAAAGAATTTAACAAGATAGTTTGTCCATTCAATCAAACATTGCTCTGCTGTAACAACATCGTTCTTAGTTCCCTCTCTCTTTGATCCTCCTGCCTGTATTTCTCCTCTAATTTTTGTTTTTCTGAGTCCATACTATAAAAAGAAGAATCTGTGCTTCTCCTAATCTTCTCAAACTGACTGAAATCTGCCACATACTTTCCATTTGGAGAGAGAGAAACCACAGGCACGAATTCATAACCCCAGTGGATCTCGTCAGGTATGTAGGAAGTCCTGCTTTGACAGACAGCACTGGTGGACTCCACTGTGGCATTCAGGAGCACCACAAGCTCAAAATCCTTATCCTTGAGATTTTGAGGTGTGAGATCTCTTAAAGGGCTGCTTTCATCCAAAATATGGTAGAATGTTAAAGGCAAAATGAGAAATGGGCTTTCTGAAGAGGAGTCAACATTGAACTTGACACTGGCTTGATTAAGCAGGATTCTCTCCCCTTCTTTGGTTTCGTATGTCTGAAGAAGCTTCCCAGAGAGCTGGCACTGTATTAAAAGGCTCTTCCTCATGTTTGCTACCCTGATCACCAGGCAAAGTTCTCCATTGTGTTTAGTAATGACAGCACAGTGGCTGAACTTAATAGTTTCTGCCCTTTTTTTAGGTCTTGCAATTTTTGCCAGAAATGTGCCTGTGATGAAGATCTCAATCAAGGTGGTGATAACCAGTTGGGCCACAAGCAAGAAAATGGCATGTGGACACTCCTCTGTAATGAAACGAAATCCATAGCCAATGGTTGTCTGTGACTCCAGAGAGAAGAGGAATGCCCCTGTAAGAGAGTCTACATTCTTGACACATGGCTCCCGCTTTGAGGTGAACGTGTTTATTTCTAAGTCTCCGTGAAGGAATGCAATGGCGTAATAGATAACTCCAAAGAGGAACCAGGTCATAACAAATGTAGCAGCAAATAAGGTGAGTTTGTACCTCCACTTCATGTCTATAACTGTAGTCCACAAATCTTGAAGGTAGAGTAGGTAAATGCCATCAACTTTGTCTATGCGCACATTGCTGTGACCGCTTTTGGACATCACACGGGGCTTGTGTGCCTTGAGCGCAGTGCTGATGCCTCCGTTAACCAGCGGAACACGGGACATATTAATCTGAGTGGCTTCCATCCTCACTGCTTCAGTCCTGAGGAGAAAAGAAAAGAAGACTGTTACTTAATGAAATCAAATCACAAAATTTGTTCTGAAATGCATTTGAAAGTGTTGAAAAAGGAGAAGGTACAAGCATAGAAGGTACAATCTGAACGCATGAGTAGTGAATTAAAAGAGCTGGAATATAAAGTTTCTCCTGTAAAATAGCTGACATTAAAAAGAACTTAGTATTATATATTGTCAGAAAAAAAAAAAAAAAGGAAAAAAAAAAAAGAAAATATTCTTTGATTCTGGTGACTGCCACATATGGAGAAGTAGATTTCTTTTCAAATAGCCTGCAAAAGAAATTTGATCAAGCTGAAATTTTATGTTAGTACTTTATTTCTGTAAAATGCATTATTTTTTTCTTACGTTTCTTTAGAGAAGAGGCTCTTTTTAACTACTGCAAAAGTTTTCTTTAGTGCCCTGAAGAGAGACATCTGATCGAAATTAAAGTCGCGTCAGTGCTTGGTTTAGAACGCAGATCCAGCACACCACCTCTGTTTCTTCCTGTGACAGAGGCAAAATGAGCCAGACCAGCTTTCACTCTGAACAATTAACTTCCACAAGTGATTTACTCAGTCGGATCTGATTCCTTGTCACAAACCTACAACTAACCTACAGGGAAACAAAGCAGACCTGAACACATCAAAGTCGAGTTTCGGAAAGGAATATTTACACCTAAAACGCTTCAAAACTGTTTGTACTCTATAGCACTCTGACTTCAAGCAGTCTAAGGAAAAAAAAAAAACGGCAATTCACAAAGTCAGCATTCTTAGCTGTGGGCCCTGACCTGTGCGAACCCAGCAGTCATTGGACCACCTGACTTCTGAAGTTTGTTTATTGTGCATCAGTCCGGATGGAGAGTAAGTGTGAGGACACTCAGAACTGAACAAAGCCCTCAGAGTGAAGCAGAACAGTGCTTGTGCCAGTTTGATGAGGCAAGTAACAAAACCCGGCTTGCAGGACTAGACAGTGGTTCATAGAGCAAGGACAGTCCATGTTATAGAAGTTTCCAACAACAAAACTTCCTGCTGAAAAAAAAAAAAACCAACAAAAAAAAAAAAAAAAAAAAAAACAAAGCAAAAAAACATCCCTTGCATCCTTTGTGTTTTGGCAGGTCATTCAAAAAGCATTGTTTTGTTCCATTGTTTTCTCAGAAAGAGCCCTAAGTAAGTGAATCGCTGCTGTGAACCATAAAAAAAAAAAAAAAAAAAAAAAAGAGAATGTCTTCCTTATAGCTACTTAAAAGAAATTTGCAGGAAATACAAGATATATTTGTGGTACACACATGTGCCAGCCCAGGACATCAGCATAATTGCTCACTGAAGTACCTTTCCTGTTATGTCAATTAAAGAGAATTTTTGTATGACTATACCCATCACACTGTTGCAGGTTTTCTGGGAAAGGGTAATTAAACTTAATGCCCATTAAGACCAGTAGCTCATTGCAGTTTGGTATTATCACCAGCGTTTCTCTTCCATCATCCAAGAGCCGTTGACATGTACATATATACCTGTATCTATAAGAAAGGAATGTGTCAGTGATCCCAGTAGGAGATTCCTTATGTGACAGTCAAATCAACACAGCATGCACAGCATGTCCGGATAGTAAACAGGAAAAAACCTTCAAGTGATCTAAAAAAGAACAACAGAAGGAAATGGCGGTGGGGGGGAGTGGGGTTAGGGGGGGAATGTAACTGCTTTTTAGATAAACTCCAAGTGGAGCGCTACTGTCAATGTGGTAAATGCACATAATCTCCAATGGGAAATCTTTTAGGAAAATATATGTCATTTAGTGAAGAGGCACCTTTTCCCACACTGAGCCTTACTCTGGATAAGCTACCGACATCAAATGTGTGAAAAAGTCCATCTCAAAACAAGTATACCTCTTCCTCTCAAGATCACTTCCCCGTAGCCATTACTTCCAGTCACAAACATTACTACGCCCCCTGCTCAGCCTACCTGGACCGTGCTCCTGGGACCACGCTCCCCAGGGCTGCTGGCTCCTCCTCCTCTGGAGGTTATCAGGACAGAGGCAGCCAAGACTCCACCTTTCCTCCTCAGTGCTACAGCTGTTGGGCTTGAGCTGGTGGGGCAGGAACAAGGCTTACAGTCTTGGCTGAGAGCAGAGTTCATTGATTAGGTTCAAGAGTGGCCCAAGGCAAGGGGTACGCAGGCACTCTGCACACTGCACTCACTGTACATCTACTGTGTCCTGGACACATGGGCTACCATATGCAAAGGACACTGGGCATGATAAGCTCTGCACTACAAGTGCTGTGACACTGATACTTCCTTGGTGTGCCAGACTTGGCAGGGATACACTGTACTGGTCATCTGCAGCATCATCAAGCTCTATGTTTTCAATCCATATGATAGCCTGGTAAGATTTCTTATCTGTGCCTCTTCTTTTCCCTGAAATGTGTTGTTCCTTCTCTGGGAACCCTGACCAGAGAAAATCCTGATGTTGCCTCCTACCACACTTCCAGAGCTAGAAAAATGTACCTAATATTACAGATAAGCCGAAGTGCTGTAGCAAAACAGTTCTTCCAAGAAGACAAGGAATAGAAAGGTAAATTGCAAGGCAAATCGTGTTTCCCGGGAACATGCCATGCCTGGCACGTTCCAGACTGTGCTTCAATTCAAAACCAAAGACATTTTTAGCTGTGCTTCTTTAACATTTCCATGCACAAAGTCAGTCTCCATGTGTAGGGATAGCATGGCAGTTTGGAGTATGGCTGTGTCAGAATTTCCCTGTCATTTTTAGTATTCTTCCCAGTCTGTATTTCTGTATGTGACAAAGCTACTTGCCTTTAGAGTGATTTCCTGAAATGGATTCCAGCCAATTTCTGGTGCTTTTTTTGGTTGTAGGATTTTTTGTTGTTGTTGTTTTTACTTCCCTTATTATTATTTTTTTCTTACATCACTTTTTCCTGTGTGATCCTAAATTCTTTTAGTGCTCTTTTCCTCCCCCGAGAAATTCAAGTGAGTTTCCTTTCCCTGCAGAAGTACTTCCCTTCTTCTCTGCCGCACTGATACGGGAAGAACGGATCTGTCATATTGCCTCTGAGCAGCACTGCCCCTGCTGAGGCCCTTCCTTATCACTTACAGCAGCCAGCAGGAGTCATCTGCGGGAAGAAATTGTGGTGAAGCCAGAAGTGGAGTAAAACCAGGCTACAGAGATTTCTCCCTGCCATCCACTTTCCCACTACCTTCTAGTGAATCAACCAGTGGCTATCCCAGAAAAAAATGATTAGTGGGTTTTTGTATACGTAAAACACACAGCATAGCATTTGCATTGCTTTTTCTTGTCCCACCCCCTCTGTAGGCACCTCAGATATTCCATGCCTTAACAACTCTTCCCAGAAACTGAGTTGAAAGATTTTAGTTTGTTTTATTTCTACCATTTTCCCTCTAAGTTAGAAAGCACATCTACCACAGTTATGCAAGTAAACTAGTCTGAATAATAGTAGTAGTATATATTTTGAAAATAAAAGAACATTTTCTGTCTGTTAGCCAGCTGATTTTATGCCGATAAATTATTTTTTGTTACTTAAAAAAAAAAAAAACAACAACAAACGAACCCTAAAACTGTAGCTGCAAATAAAAGTGAATTGAAGTACAGTTAAGTAAAAAGATACTTTATGGGAGAAAATGAAGTAATCTCAGGCTTGTCTCACGCTCTCATGTCCTGTGGATTACCTCCTTTCCTCATGAGCCCTTTGGAACTGCTGAAGGAGACTCCCCATCACAACACATGCTTGTAAGGGAATTTAGTACAGACAAAATCAATAAAACACAGAACTACATACCAAACCACCAACCATGAATACCTTGATCTGAAGGTAATTTCAGCAGCCAGGGATATAACAAGTACATTAACTCTGCTTCCAGAGACCGCATTATCAAGAAGTGAAAGCCAGCTTGCATGCACAGAAAAATGTTCCTGTTGCATGAAGCCAGATCTGCTTGTGCAAGATCTCTTTTGGCAGACACAAAGGATTAGAAGTGTACAGGAGCATGACTTGTTCAAACGGCCTCAGATGTTTTTTTGTTTTCAGATCAGATATGCTTTGCCACTTGAGCAACCCCCACACTCCCCTACACACTTCATTGCCACTCTGACACAGGGCAAAACTTGAACTGTTTTCTCAACCAGCAAAAACCATTAGCAAGATTGGCATTAACCAAAAAAAGCAGTGCTGAGGAAAGAAAACATTGAAAAGCAATACACAATCTTCAGATATTTCCTAGGTATGATGTGGTTCAGTAGGTTAAAAAAGTCCTTCCTGAATTCTCAGTGCTCTGCCTAGCAATACCCTTCTCTTTTTGGGCTGTGTGAGCTGTGGGAGACACGAGGTTCTGCTGTGCAGCCACCAATCAGAAAAATCCTCCTCTGTGTCTGATTTCTGGAACGCAAAAAAAAGAGAGAGGGGTAGTAGCAGTGGTTATGAAAGAATGCGTCAACTCCTCTACCAGCTGCCACTGCAGTCAAAAAGCCTGAACCCTTCATAAAAGAGCCATTCAACCCGGGTAATGACTAACACTTACTTGCACAGCAGAATAGTGTTAGACTGGGAATTGATCATATTGTGAATGACACTGCCTTTAAAAAACAAATCATAGATCATAGAATCATTAAGATTGGAAAAGACTTAAGATCACCCAGTCCAACTGTCAGCCCACTCCCACCACGCCTACTGACCACGTCCCTCAATGCCACATCCACACGGCTCTTGAACACCTCCAGCGATGGTGACTCCATCACATCCCTGGGCAGCCTGTGCCACTGCATCACTGCTCTTTCTGAGAAGAAATATTTCCTACTACGCAGCCTGAACCTTTCCCAATGTAACTTGAGGCCATTCCCTCTCATCCTATTTCTGTTACCCGGGAGAAGAGGCTGACCCCCACCTCTCCATAACTTCCTTTCAGATGATTGTAGGGAGTGACAAGGCCCTCCTCTGAGCCTCCTCCAGACTAAACAATCCCAGTTCTCTCAGCCACTCCCCATGAGACTTGTACTCCAGACCCTTAACGGCTTCATTGTCCTAAATGAACTCTTTTTGATTTTTTCCACAAGACCAGACCACAAGAACTGTAAATGTAACATCAAATCAAGATCAGCTCCTGACGCTGTGCATTTAGGTCCATACACCTCCTCCTGGCCACTCATCAGCAGAGAACAACCCTTGGATGGTAACACTCAGGAGCAGGTGACAGTGGTGGCACAGCAAAGCCTGCCCAGAGGCCTGAGTGCTGCAGATCTGATTGCACTGGAGGTTGAGGTTAATGGTATTGTGTTGGGGCTAGGGGAATGCTTTCCATCACTCACAGCAGGTCCAGGGGAAATCACTGACAGACCAGTATTAAGAAAATAAAAACCCAAATGCATCTCTTTCTCTCCTAGGCAGCCTGCCTGACATCTGGCCGTATAAGATGAATTTTAGCTGAAGAAGTCATGGTACACTGTTGCTTAGAGAGATTTGTACAGGAATCTTGTTCTTT